CGCAGTTGGTTCGCCATGGTAAAGAGCTCAAGAGCGTAAGTCTCGTGTGGTAGCGTTATGGTGCAGGAGTGATGGTAGTCGGAGTTACAGCGACGGGGAAGTCGACGTGCTCTACGATCCTCTCCAGAGCGTTGTCACAGCTTTGTCTGGATGGTTCGACGGACCCCGCTCACCAAGTGACCAAGGTTATGGCCTTGAACCCGAAGAGTATCTCTATGGAGGAACTGTACGGCAGCTTCAATGAGAACACTGGTCAGTGGTCTCGAGCCATTCATCGCAGTATTGATGTGAGTTTTCAGGGGAATGGTCGGACGGGTTGGTGGCCATTCTGGTGAGGGAGGCCTTGAGTGATACTTCCGATAACAAAAAGTGGGTGCAGTTTGACGGACCTGTGGATGCTATTTGGATTGAAAATATGAACACTGTGGGATGAACGACCTCAGTTCAGTACTCGAGGCAGAGTCCGTTGATCAGGTGCTGGATGACAACAAGATGCTTTGCCTGAATAATGGGGAGAGGATAAAACTCGCCCCGACCATGACGATGATGTTCGAGGTACGTTGTTACTTTGGTGGCAAGCAAGGCTGCATGGAATTTCATTCTAAGGTGAATGACCTAGCTGTAGCCTCGCCGGCTACTGTCTCACGATGTGGTATGGTATTGATAGAACCTGTTCACTTGGGGTGGAGAGCGCCTATTGATACGTGGAAGGAAGTATTCTCGATAGCGGCTCCTGAGGCTTTTAGTCGATCGTTATGCAGATACGCTCGCAGTCTTACCCAAAGTATGCTGCAGACCTGCATCGACATGTTGTTGATCTATGCGATGTCACGTTGCCGTTCATACGCTCTCACCTGAAGGAGGCTCCGGGTATTCCTAGTGTCGATGCTAATCTATGCAAGTGAGCTCATGCACGGCCGATGAATGCTGATGAAGGCAACCTGTTAGGTCGTTCATGGACTTGTGCGATTCCTTCGTCAACGACAGTAACGGCTTTGAAAGAGTGAGTATCAGTGTGGTGATCCTGATAGGTGATATGCCAATACACATTGATGTAGGTGATGCCATTAGAGCCCGAACAAGAGGAGCCGACAATCAAGCCGTCCAAGAGATCGGATGCCTCCAATGATAAGTTGTTGAGAATGTACTTGATCGTGGCGGCTGTCCGCAGTCTCGGTGGTAACCTGCACGAAACCAGTCGAGGGGAGTTCTTGGTAATGCAGCCTCGATTGTCGGGAGGGGCATCGCCGGTTCCCTAGGAGTTCATGAGACCCCATTTCGAGAGCATCTGTCCCGACGTGGTGGATTTCGATGATTTATATTCTGTAGCGGTGGATCCAGAGAAGGGTACTAGCTCGAGGAGATGGGGTTATAATGGGGTCCGCCGTCGACG